CATCCAGCAGCGAATCGAGACTGGCCGATGAGGATTATTATGTTGACGAGCTCGCGTTAACTCGCATCCCCGTACTTTGATTCTACGCTCCGACGTGTACTGCCGCCCCCCCCCCAGCCTTCACCAACCCGCACTGACCAGCGTGGTGAGGTATGGTCAAAATAGCCCCCCCTCGCCTGTCACGAACCGGACGACCGAGGGGGGGGGTCTATTATCATCCAACGGTGGAGTGACGAAGGGGGCTGTGCAGCATGTTCGTGCTTTGACCGTATCGGGAGACGGAATGTTTTTAAATCCGATTCGACAGATTTCATTACAAATCCGAGCACGTCGATCCTATCGCGTCCCATTCAGGTGGCCTCCCCCTTTTCCTCACCCTGCCACCCCCCCCCCCCCCCCCCCAGCAGTGACTTGATCGCATCATTCTTATTGTGAGGCTTCCTTACCCAGGGAGAAGCCTCACCCCGAGTCTCACGACCCTCTTTCTCAGAAGAGTCCTGCCGAATATTCGTAATTGGGGGGTGGGGGCAGCCGATGATTGCGACCGCGGGTCGGGTCATTTTATTTTTTAAAAAGTTGTGGCACATTTGGACCGCGACGCCGACGCACAGGGTGGAATTACGTCAAGGGATCTTGGACGTCCGCAGTGTAAACAAGCGGGCGCGTATCCACACGGCGCATTAACCACCGGCAATATTAAACAGGGCGGCCGCTGGATGTCGAACCGTAAGCATCTGCAACAGCAAGCTTACTGCTGGGCCATGGCACAACCGCCCAAGAGAACGGACCGTGTGTGTGTTGCCGTACATGGGGGCGTACAGTCAGTCTCTCTACTGCTGGATGAGGGACAGCTCCAGGCCCCTTCGGGTGATGGCATTTATTTGACCACACTACAAAAAACACGCTGGTCAGTGCGTGATGAAGGCGTTGGAGCATAGAAGTACCGTACAACTGTGAATGTTGCTGCACTGCCCAATGCTGCCCACCACGTGGCCAACTATCGCAAACCTGTTTTTTGCGTGGTGGTCACTCGAACCATTGGCCAGGCTCCAAACCGGCTTAGCTTTCGAGGGGAGGAGATCGTCCACGTCCTGGGCGATTGTTAAATCGCGCATCAAGTCGTAAGGTTGTTAAACGTTTGCAGTATTTGCATTACCAGTAACCGCATGAAAACAAATCCCCAGCGAGAGCCGGTTAACGGGTTTCCGCACTAACAACTTCAGCAATACACGAAATACGCTTACCTTTTGTAAACTGGCCTGTCAATTTGACAGGTCACGCCTAGATGGGGTACAGCCACCGCTTCCAAGTCGACTGGTTAGCGTGGCAGAGTAGGCCAAATACAATTACAGAGCCCCCCCCCCCCCCCACTCGTGGAGGCCCTTCCCACAACAGTGGCATTAACAGAGCAATTTCAGGGCTGCACCTTTATCTTCTTAACTGAATAAAAACAATGGCAAGTGTGCCAAGCGATGACCTCGGCCGCCGTGCGGTTTGTTACTGGTTGCACGTGCGAAATCAATTAGCGCATTGGTTACTAATAACGCAACTCGAAAAGGTTACCGGTTCCTGACTTTCTGAACCGGTAATAGATTCTGAAAACGGTTAACGATTTACCGGTTATCGTTTAACAACCTTTGTATCGTATACAGACGTACACCACCTCAAGCAAGTTGCTTTTGCACGCACGCAGTTGCTAAAAAACACATAGATGAGCGCACGTATACTTGTGTAGAAGTACACGTAGCCGTGTAGCCGTGCGTGCACTTGCATATCTCGAACCCTAGCGCAGTCAACCACCCGCCCTCCAAAAGTAAAAAAAAACACGTGTAATGCATAAGTGTGTGCGTGTTGATACAGTACACAGGTCATAGTTATTAGATTAGACAACTACACAGCCATATACCGTACGACGCGCAAATACTACATCCACACAGAACACCCTGGGGCAAGCACTGTGCTTTTACAGAGCACGTGCACAAACGGCCGGCCGCCTTTGTCTCACCCTGTGCCGACGTTTATACACCCCGCACCAGGTACTCGTGTTTAAAACAAACAAAAAAGGATGAGGGGGGGAAAGACGCTCATCGTCGCCGGTACAGGTATTCGCCAGGTGAGGTTGACCGTGAGCGCGAATCTAACTCGGGTCGCCGTGTCGCGAAGCGCCGACAGCCAAACGCTGCGCTACATACAAAGAAAAACGCGCACACGCGCCGTGCACATGAACGCACACACACGCACACGCACGTGAGCGTAGCACAGTGCACGGAAGAGCTCAGCTCACGCGCGCACACCTGTACGCGTTCACCTGTTGTGCATGGGCAATGCGCGTGCACACCTGTTAGTCAGCGAGCACCTGTTGAAGCTACGGTCCGGGTGATGGCTATGGTAGCCTATAGAGAGCGTCGTGTACTCCCCGATTGCCCTGCTTTATCTAATTGTAATGAGCAATTTATACGCAAGATTATTTTTGACCGACCGTGCTTTCGCCCCGGGATTGAGCGGTGGCGCAGTGGTTAGCGCACTGCGCCGTCAACCCGGCTCCAGTCGGGTTCGATTCCCGGGCAGGGCTCTCGCATCCGAAGGATATCTTCCACCGGTCTTTGCACTCGCACACAAACCCCCCCCCCACCTCCCCGCTACTAACCCGCGCGGTGAAGTATGGTCAAAGAACCAAACGAAGTGGCGACAGGGGGAGGGCGGCATTCCAATCGCAGTAGATTTTTTTTTAATTGGTGCGATTTGTACATGAGAATTAATATATCCAGGCGAAGCCCCATCGAGATTCGTTGTGGTGTTGTCGTTGGGATCGAAGTCCTTTATTGAACCACAGGTGACGAGCAATTGATATGGATCATTCCATTTTTTTATTACGTCCCTTATTTATCCAGGTGAGCTCGCAGCGAGATTAATAGTCTTCTATTAAAGTCCCTTTTTTGTGTTACCACATCAGCAATTGATACGGATTTTATATTTTTGATCGACGTCCTTTAACTTAGCCAGATGTCACTTTGGAGATTCAGATTAAAAGGCACGTTGGTTAATTAACCTCGCAATTAGCCAGAGATATCGTTAGATTTAATTGCGATTTTATATTGTAGGGGGGGGGGGTGTTGAGTGATAGAATCGGGAAACCGGTAACAGTTTCCAGAAACGATTTACCGTTTTCGGAAAGGTCAGAAAACGGTGATCGTTGTCGAGTGGAGCGTCGGTAGCGGGTGCACGTGGGGCGTACAAACGGGACGGCAGCCCGGGTCACCGCATGGTGAGATCGTGCCCTCGTTTCTCAAGTTAACAAAGGGGGGTAAAAGGCGCAGCCACTGCTAGCGTAAGGGCCTCGCCACAGGGATGGATTTCCCCGGACAGCATTTGGTCTCCTCCACGCTGATCGGACGTTTTGAAAGAAGAGAGGGGGGTGTACCCACACTTTACCCCACCGGACGCAACTTGCCGATCGACCGAGGCGTAGTCATTCATGCTTGCGTGGAGAACTTAAGAAACGTTGCCCATTCGTTTCGTTTGCTGCCGCGCCGGGAGATCGAATCCAACCCGACGATTTCTGGATTGCAAGTCCGCTGCGATAGCAGACTCGGGATAATTTATTCTGGGAGAAATCCGATGAGCTATGAAGCGGTGGAAGGTCCCTACGTCGCTTCGTTAAAAAAGATACAACTCCAGCGTGAGTGCTCCGGCAGTTCTATTCGTGCAGAAAAAAAACGATAATCGATTTTTTTCCCGAACGGTTACCGGTATATAAAAACGGATGTAATAAAACGTAATCTTAAAAAAAAAACACGTATATGTAAATAAATATACTTAAACGAGTATATGCATGTATAAAGATCTCCCGTATAGTCCGAACACTTTTCGGGCAAGTGCTGTTAGCGAGCACCTATGAAGGCCGGCACGGCACACGAGATGGGGGAGTGGGTGGCCAGCACCACGCCCGGCCGTCTTTGTCTCCCTCGTGGCGATGTTTACACACCACACCAGGTTACTCACGAGGCAGAGTCGACCTAGGGGAGATCCAAGACCTGTTTAGATAATCGTCACCGGGCGTTGATCGTGAACGGGAATCGAACTCTGGCCCGACAAGTTCGTAGCGCTAACCGTTGCACTACGGCTCCCCATAGTATACGTTCATTACACACAACCCATATACAGGCGTCAGTGCAAATACCCTCCCCGTACAACCTAGATATTGTTGAAGTGAAGATCGCAAGCACTTATTAAGACCAATACGGCGCTCGCAGGGTGTGTAGTCAACATCACGCCCGGCCGCCTTTTGTATCCTCAGCGTTGACGATTACACATCGCACTAATTAAGGCCGAGCAGACCTTGGGGTGGCACTGGAGCGGTTCAGATCAGACTCGCTTATGGCGATGGCTGCGGCCCATATGATACGCATGCACGTGTACAGAGAGAAGAGTACACACGTGCATGTACGTACACATGCACCACCTAGATATAAATACATAATTTTAAAAAGCGCCGCAAAAATGCTAGTATAATTACACAAATGTGAATAAAGCTCTCCCGTTCAGTCTTAACAGACTGTTGGGGCAAATGCTGTCACAGAGCACCTTATGAAGGTCGACAGCACAAGAGGGGGTTGGTGTGGCCAGGATCACACCCGGACGCCTTTATCTTCCTAGGTGGAGGCACGGCGCCGGTTCTGATAAGTCACGGGTGTTGGCCGCGAGCGGGAAGCGAACTCGGGTCGCCGGGTTTTTAGCTCCGTGCGCTAACCACGACACTCCCCGCTTTTCCATTAGAAACCACGCGCAAAAACCACCACGTATAAAATCATAAATGTACACACACAAATATTAACACACGCACACACGCGCACTACTCTCACCTGCACGCCCGTATGCACACGCGTGTATTCGTGCGCGCGTATGTATATTAGAAACACACGCTAGCGCAGGTTTGCAAACGCGTGCGCCACATATGCGCACGTGTACACACGCGCGCGGCCCGGCTTCATCTCACCCACCTCTGCACACACCTGTACTCGGGTGGATGATTGTCCGCTGGCTTGGCTGGCTTGTTGAATGCGCTCCCCTTCCTCCTCCTCCTCCCTCCCCTGCTTCACACTCCTGCTGCTTCTGCTGCTGCTGCCGCTGCTGCTGCTGGGTGGCGCGTGCGTGCGGTCGAGAGGGCTTTGGCGAGCGAATGTTGGCTAAGGCAGCGGTGGCGGACAGAGTCAGCGAGGCTGGGCTGCCCGAGGCTGCTTGCTGATAGTAGTGGTGGTGGTGGGGGGGGGGGCGGTTGATGTCTGGCGAGGATGTGGGTGGTGATTTGGGGGTGGGTGGTGATGGAAGGGTGAGTCACGGCAAGGTAGGTGTTGTTACGAAACGCAGACCTACTAACACCCCCCCCCCCTCTCTCTTCCCCCTCCCAGACCCTGGTTCTTACTTCAGACAGTCACACTCGGTTTCATTCCTCACCTCGGTATTTTCCGGAACGCTGCAAGGCTGGCGAGGAGTAGCGTGTCGACGGAAGGCACCACCACTACGAGACTACTTTCATCTTCAAATCTAGAACTACTTTCATCGTTTTAAAAAATAAAGGGGAGACGTACGTGCAGGAAGGGAGTTCTGTTAATTTATTACGTTACTGGCTAGAGTGCAAATGTGCGACCTATCCATAATGACCGTATTCTATTGTATTTGCTAAATAATAATAAAAATGTCGCTTTTAATATCTCAAATGATGACAATGGCACAGAGAGAGACCACGATCCAGCAGCGTACAGGAAACAACGGCCGACGTTTCGGGACAATTGCCCTTCTTTGCTACGAAGGGTCATTGCCCGAAACGTCACCCAATCCGTTCTTTGTGCAAGGGCTTATTTGACAAAAGCGTCGGGCCGTTACATGCCTGTGCAACACAGTATATTATAAAAACAACATTTTAGTTGTGTTTAATCATCTTACGGTATTGCACCCTCGCCTTACGGTGTTAAAAAACAAAAAACACACAAAGTACGCACAACGTTGCCGCGAGGCAGCGCCAGATTTTTTTGTTTACATAACTACTCCATACCAGAAACGTATAGAAGAACATCTGGGAATACGCGGATTACAAGACCCATTATGGCCACGTGGAGCACCCAGAGAGCCCCGAGCTCTCAGAATTGTTCTAGAACAGCGCTTCTTAACCTTTACCGCAGCCTTGCACCCCCCCCCTTTCCTTCTCAATCGTTTAAAACATGTATGTTAGCAAATAGAGGTTTGACAAAAACAGTAGTTGTACTTACGTGTTCGTGCTTGATGTGTTTGAGGATTTACCTTCTAAAAAAAATATCTGGCCACGTCTCGCAGCCCCAGAAAGGGCATCTCGCACCCCCCCCTCCCCCCCAGGTGCAAGAGCAGAGGGCGCGAAGCAGAAATTATATTGGGGGGGGGGGGGGGGCGGAGGCGCTATTTCCGTTGATAAAAATCCTAGTGAGCTCGCAGAAGAGATATAAACAAGAGATACGACACAGGGAGATGACAGAATAGATGCAGTCAGATGACAGAAGGAGTTAGAGACAAAATAAATGTATTCTTAGCAAGCGTAATGGAAGACAAAAATAGAAAATGTAGTAAGATGCAGAGAGGATTCCTTGGTTTTACCCAAACTAATTAGCTTGTGTTTATGGAGGATATTGACCGTTATTGTATGCGCCTCGATTTGTATTAATAGGGCAGCGAAGTTGAACTACACGCCTCACGCAAAATTCTACGGTTCGATTCCCACCTCAGGCGTCTATGGTGTCTGTATGTTCCCCCACCCACCCAATTGTTATGCATGGGTTTTCTTCGGGTTCTCAGGATTTTCTCCGATGGAAGAAAAAAAAACATTCAACTGGTATCAGCCGGACATCCCCAATTAGTGACATTGGGGGATGGACACTTGGAGGAAGCCTCCTTGAAAAAAAAAAAATTGGAGACTCGGGGAGGAATTTCTGGATAAATTGAATCATCTGCCGCGCCCACCCATCCATCCATGTGTTAGGCGAATTTTTGCTTCAATTGCTTATGCCTAGCGCCACCATCGCCTTCCGTTCAGAGATTCATAATGGCCAGAATCCGAGTAACCCTCTTCAGCAGATCACAAACTCATGCCTTGGGTATTATGGGCGTCCCTCTTACCACAAGAGGCTCAACGTGGCCCGTGTTAGATAACCGATTTAACATTAGTGGGTGAATAATCGTATGTTTTTTTGGAAGTTCATAATGGCCATGGTAGAACAGCAATTTCAGCAGCTTCGAGAGGTCAGGTGCAAACCCTAGCTGTGTCCGTATTAAACAATAGCCATTGCAGATGCTTATTTCACCACTCATGATATCATACGGTCAAGCCCTGCAACTGGATGAAGTATACTCTTAGTTTTTTCGGTAAAGTCACGTAGGTAAAAATGAAATTAAAATTAATAAAAATAAAATAAAAATCACGACGTTTCGGAGGCAACACAAGTCTCCGTCATCAGGTGGGACCGTCACAGCCAGATTTGCTGCATCAAGTGAGGCAGGGATTCAAGATGCAAGCTCTTAAATACAAGTTAAGGGGGAGGAGAGGGGGGGTGGGGAGCTTATCAGAATGTGGTAGCCAATGAATGCAACGTATCGGGAGGGGGTATGAATCCTTGCAGTCACGAAAGCTTCAAATCTAGAACTGGATGAATGTTTAAAACAAATTAGTTAGAATGCCGAATTTAGAACCCGATAACCAACTGTTGTAATCGAGAAAGACCGCAGGCCCACCGACTTTGCATTCCCCGCACGGCCACTGGCAGATTCACACGGTGCAGTGAAATACCACATTAGATACAAAGTCCTCCAACCGCCACAACGATACAAAAAATGCACCACCGCAAGTTGCAAGTCAATTAGAAGTTGTTACGTCAGGTTCTGGGAAGGCGAACCGTGAGCTCGTGCGAGGTCCCCCCTCCCCTCCACATGACCCTCGCATGCCGTCGATATTATTTTTAAAAGAATCGGGGCATTTAAAGACGCGAACCATGGGTGGAGTCCGACGGTATGTGACACTGCGGGATTACGCGTCGAGTCGGTTTAAAAATACGGTACTCAAACCAAAGAATATCCACAATCCAGGACGGCAGGGAACCGGCAACAACTGCCGTTTAAACCCAGTCCCCACGGGATCACACACGCACGCACCGCCCTCTCGTGCGCGCTCGCCCTCCACCCGGTGTCGGAGCCGCTAGCCCCAATGCTCTCGGACACCGCTCCGCACGCGGCTTGGTCAGCCCGCCTACCCAGCCCAAGCAGGGCACGCCGAGGAGGGCACGCCGAGGAAACCTGGGCCGTGCCCTTCTCCCTGCCTCGCCTGCAGCCCCGTCCACCACTATCGCTGCAGAATCTCCACCCCACCCCACCAGCCCTCCGGACTGGAGATCACCCGAGCAAACACCGCTGGTCGCTTCCCCGTCTCGTGGCCGCCCCACCCGTTCGCCTGCTGCCGACTTCCTTTGCCGAAGCTCCGGTCATTAAAACCTCCCTCCGTCCGTTGGGTCCCTCACCTCCTGCGCCGTCCTCTTGTTCTCCACAACCTGCACTCCCAACCAGGTCCTCGTGCAAACAAAGCCCGATCACGGACTCTCCTCCACCCACAAATAAGCCATCTCGCCGCAACTACAGGGCGAGTGTAAGATTGAACTCACGGCCTCGAAGACTGCTTCTTGCCAAACCGCCTGTTGTCCCCTCGTTGCTGCCGATTCACACGTTGAGCACCACAACGGTGCACGGTCTCTCTGGTCCAAGCCAGATCGTTATATCCGTGAGCCAGCCACCACCCCCTCCTGCAGCCTCGCCATTGGCTCATCGGCCACATCGCGAGGAGCGGTTCACCCGTTTCCACCTGGGGGCTTTCAATTACAGCTTCCCCCCCCCACCCACCTGGCTTAATCGGCCCTGATCGACACCTCTGACAACAGGTGGCTGATAACTGAATCAATGGCAGGACCTGTTCCAGACCAGTTCTACCAACGCTTTGTTAAACGCGGAGATACGGTTCAGGCCTGCATTGAGACGAGAGTTCATCGACCCCGTGACATAATTAAAGTCCAACGTTGCATATGAGACAGTCACACAATCACCCTGACGAGTTGACCGTGCACATCCAAGTGCAGTGTCTGTGCACCGCGTAACTTGCATGTGCTACAGATGTTCGCTTATCCGACCTTGTCTCACATCCCCCGAAATACCTCAGGCCCCAATGAGTCGGATATGTGACATATGTCCGTGTCTGTATTTAATGCACAAAGTCGAAGGCCCGCTGTTTCTCCGAATGAATTGTCGGAGCGGGTGCTGCTGGCGAGCACATTACAGCAAGCATGGCCTGTGAGTGGCGGTGCGGTCACCGTAATCATACATATTGCATCTATATATACAAATTGCAGGTGCAGTTGGCATTAAAGTGTTTAGTCATTGCAGATACAATGTACAGGACACTCAATTAAGGCTGAGTTGACTGACCTAAGAGAGGCCCGAGACAGGTCCCCAATGTCACTCGTTAATTTTAATGGATGAACATTTCAATAAAGGATCCTCCTCTTTAAAAGAGAAATTCTTTCAAACTCGTTGAGGTGTTTCTAGCTATATTAAGGGTATTGCTGTATTATTATTGGTGATCTCGAATTCTTTTATACTCGCCTTTTGCCCGTCCAAGGATGGGTGGGGTGGGGCTGGGTGGGGAGGGGCTGGTCACCCCGTGGTGCCCTTATAAAACTCAACGTTTAACCTACTCACGCCGGCTTGTGCCCACCCTCACAGTTCGCCATATTTGCGGAATACACCACGCCGCCGTTGACCCTGGCCATTGACCGAGCAACCCAACGTTCCTACCAGCTCCCTCCGCAGGAATGTGTTTGAGTCATCATTCCAGATACCAGTTGCCACAGAAGTTATCCATGTTAAAGAGGCTATGTCTCAGTACCGAGCTCTCATGGGCTTGACTCCAAATTAATATGCCAAGAATTGTGGCGGCAGTGGTGGTGTTACTTTAAAGTCAACATTTTTTTTGTCTTCATAGACTAGTCGATGACCACCCATTTATCACACTTCGCTTCCGTGATTTTCTTGCCAAAGCTGGTGTCATCAGATGTGATAGCTACTACCCTTATTGCCTATCACTATATACCATCAAGCTCTATAACTAGCGTTAGATTTGCTAAACCCTGCGTTTCATTCACGAGTTCACTTTGTGTGGCTGTATGCCAATGTGTGTATGGGGATGTATGGGTGTG